TCCATTATATGTTAACGATTGTGAAATGGCTTTCATTAATAGTAATATTATTCCATATGAGATGAAAGAATTGAATTTATTCCTACTTATGTATGCTGATGATATGGTTATTTTCTCAGAATCTGTTTAGGGTTACAAAATATGCTTGATACATTATATGAATATACATCAAAGTGGTCATTGAGTGTTGATATTAATAAAAATAAAATTGTAGTATTTAGAAAAGGTGGTAGAGTTCATGTTGATGAGAAATGGTATTATGATAATAAAGAAATTGAAGTTGTTGATTATTTTACCTACCTTGGTGTTCTTTTAAATTTTAATGGTAAATATAATACGTTACAACAGAAACTGTCGGAACAAGGTAGAAAAGCAATGTTCGCTCTAAGAAGAAATGTCAAAAGTATGAATTTAAACTATGTCACTTTGTTATCACTTTTTGATACTTATATCAATTCATTATTGAGTTATGCAAGTGAAATATGGGGTGCACAAAAAGCCCTGGACATATAGAGAGTCCACATAAACTATTGTAAGAATATACTTGGTGTAAAATTGTCTACTAACAATGTTATGATATATCAAGAATTAGGTAGATTGCCTCTTATTTTCAGAAGAAAATGCAAGATTTTCAAATATTGGTTTAAATTGCTAAATACTTCAAACTGTATATTGAAAAAGTGTTATAATTACTTATATTGCGAATTAGAGAGATGTCCAAATAATAAGTGTAACTGGTTGTATTTTATAAAGAATGAACTGTTTGTTATTGGTTTAGGTGATGTATGGTATAGCCAAAACCTTATTTCAGACTTGCCTGATGTATATTTTGCTGTCATAAAGCAACGTTTATATGATTGTCTAAAACAAGAACTTGATGCTCAATTGCATACTTCTCCAAAATGTTCTAACTATAAATATCTGTTAGATAATTTTTGTCTGCAATTTTATTTATGCAAACCAATTCCAAATGTTAACAAAACATGTATTACGAAAATAAGATTAAGTAGCCATAACTTAGCTGTAGAAAATGGAAGATTTTATGGTATAACAAGAAATAATAGAATATGTATTTTTTGTAAAAATGATATAGAGGATGAGTTTCATTTCATCCTCAAATGTCCATTTTTTCAAGGTTTTTGAACATTTTATATAAAGCCATATTATTGGAAAAAAACCATCGATGTACACATTTATTAAACTAATGAGTTCAAACAATTTAAAAGAGCTGTGTCATTTAAGTAAATTTATATTTAGATCTTTTAAGCTTAGAACCGAAATGTTAAAATAGTGTTTATGTATAGATTATAACATGCCCTTTTCCATATTGGCCCTGGTATCATCCCGAGACTCCCATATCGGCCTCGAGGCTTTAGCCGAGGGCCGATATGGGTCGAGGGATGATACCAGGGCCAATATGGAAAAGACATGTTATAATCTATTTATCACATATTTAAGTTCTGCAGAAAAGGGAAAAAAGTTCAATTATAACAATTTAATGAAATATAACAGGTAAAATCTTTTAAAAATTTTATCACAAAAGTTTTATCACATTTTCAAATTTAGTTTTTATCATTTACTCCATAGAAATTTATTGTCACATTTCCACTTATTTTGGAATATGGCAATACACAATTGCGTAATTCTCCGGCACTTTTTAACCACTCCTTTAGAATTTTAATGTCACTTTCAGTTTTTTTTCTTGTGTTAGCGTTTTTCATTTGCTCTACAAAGTCTGTCATTGTTCGCCGTCGTTAAGGACGCAATGACGTCACGTCATTTGAAATCAGGGCACAATAACCAATAACCTCTTTTTTGCCCCGGGCAATTTTGAGGTTATTGCATATGCAAAACCCAACGTATTCGTAACAAATATGTGATAAAATTAAATATTGAGACTGGTCGTTATTTAAATCAACGAAGGGAGGATAGAATTTGTGAATGTTGTATTATGCAATGTATAGAGAATGAATATCATTTTAATGTGGTTTGTCCAGCATAAAGACAGTATTGACTTAAATGCTTCTGAATATAGTATTATACATGTACAAATATTAACAAACTGCATTTATTACGACAAGTTAAAACAGTTAATCTCAATTTGATGTATTTTTTGCGTGAAAGTTGGAAAGTGAGAACTTTCATATTAACGTAGTTATATATATTGTCTTTGTTCATAAACAAAGTGTTCATAATTTTTATTGTGTTCTCTGCTGTTTTATGTAACTATATGTTAATATATTTTTATAAATTTCATGTTGCTGACACATGATAATGTTATAATTTCAATGTGCTATAAAATAATTGTGTTTATTGCAATAAAAGTCTTTATCTCATCTTATCTTAAACGTTCATTGTACTAAATATCCGGACCATACGTGTATAATTATACGCATATGGTCTAAATACTCATGTGGTCATAAGATTCCTTGTTCGCAGGTATGGACAATCGCTGTATCGTACTTTGAAACAAATAGGCTTATACAAAGTTGTGACTACAATAATTCAGTTAGATAACCTGTTTAAATAAAAAAGGAGTTTTGAACGTTTACACTTTCTGATTAGAATTCTGGAATTTAAAAAAAAAAAACTTAAAAGATCGCATGATTGTTTTCAGCAATTCATCAATTATCTGTTAATTATTTTGTGAAATATTGAAGAGGGAAATACTAGAGGAAATGATCATTATATTTGTATCACCTTGTCGCCATTGATCGTCTGTGTTTTGCTATTGACCCAATATAAATGAACAGGAAATTATTCAATAGAATGTACACAATTGGGATAAGTACCAACATAAAAAACACGTAGCTGAAAACTTGATTTTTTAAATAAAACAAAAAAAACATATGAATAAAATCGGGGTACCATCATTCCCTATCTATATCTGCATAGAATATGAATAAACGGAGATCATTTAGGATATACGTCTCACGTTGTACGTCGTTGTTCATTAACTTTTACAAAATTGTTCTCTTCTGAAACTTCTTGGCCAAATATCACCAAATTTAGCATTAGTCATTCTTGGTGAATCTAGTTTAAACAATGTGTCTGGTAATTGAGATAGCCAACCAACATGGCAATCAAGGCTAAAAGTAAAAAAAATCGGGGTAAAATGCAAGTATCTTTTTTAAACTTGTAAACAGTTAAAGATAAACAAAATCTGACATATGCAGAAATGTTTAAAACTATGAAATCTTCCTACTGTCTGTTCAGACCAAAACTGTCAGACGACTCTATATAGGGGTAATTGTCCATAAAAGGGGATTTTTACCATTTTCTTTTTCTTTTTGTCTATTATCTAGAAAAATAATAGATAGAGAGAATATTACATTTAATGATAAAATTGATCAGTTAGACAAGATCTACTAATAAAGCAAATGGGCATATTTTGTGGTAATTTACCTATTATCTGGAAAAGTTTAATAAATAGAGAGAAACTTTAAATACAAACAATAAACAATAAGACAAGTTCCACACAAAAGCTCACATGGCCGAAATTGTCAGTCGACTCTTTTAGAAATTATGGCCCTTTAATGAGGATTTTAACCCTTTTTTTTTTGGGGGGGGGGGGGGGGCATTTTGCCGATTATCTTGATAACTATAAATTATACAGAGAAACTCTGGGTTAATTGCAAATATAAATATGATTGGCAAGACAGTATATGCTAGTAAGTCAACAGTGTAGAAATCGCCAAAAAAAACTTCTCCTATATGAGTTATTCTAGAAACGTCAAACAGCAAAACTGATCAGCAAGATAAGGTATACAAATTAATCACATAGCCGAAATTGTCTGTTCACCCCTAATAGGTGTTATTGACCTTTTTTTCTCTAAAAATATCTTTATTGCACTTTTCTTTGCTGTAATGACAAATTACTCGACCTACAGCAGTTGGCCGAGTATCCCTGTGAATTAGTCGCTGAATAACCAGGGAAATTATCTAGTAATGTCATATTTATAAGTAGTTACTTCAATAGTTAGTTTTACAACTCATAGTTAATACAAATATGTTTGGAAAATATGTAGTCACATGATTACGGAAAATGTACAGTTTTGTCCGGTTTTGTTTCTGAGGATTAGAACTTTATGATCATTGACCTTAACCTTTTGTAAAGAACCGTTATTGCCGGTTAATCAGTTTTCCTGATGAATTTATGCGTTTTATTGACCTTAAATGATGATTTCTTTTACAACAAATTCTCTGAACTAACATTATTGAAATGCTTGACTTTTTATTGACATCACATTTGTTACATGTGGATGACGCGTTAATTTTACTAACAATCGACATTCCTATTTGTGCTCCTCTTCTTGCCAACCTGTTCTTTTATTCATACGAGTCATACTTTATACAGGAGCTTCTCAGAAGAATGAAAAGAATTTAGCAATGTCCTTTAACTTTCGTTCCGCTAATTTGATGATGTCCTCTTACTGTACTATCTTATGTTTTGTCACTATGTTGAATGCATCTACCTAATCGAAATTGAATTAAAGGATACCACAGACACAGTAAAGTCTTCTTCATGTTTTGACTTACATCTACAAATTGAAAATGAAGGTCGGTTGAGAACAGATCTTTCTACAAAAGGAGTGATTTCAGTTTCCAAATTGTGAACTGTGCATCTCTATATAGCAACATTTCAGCAGCAGCTGCCTATGGAGTATATATCTTCCATTTGATACGCTATTTCAGAACTTGCATTTTCTATCATGATTTCCTTGATATCGTGGTGCTGCTTACAAGGACGATATTACACCAAGGGTTCCAAATGGTGAGATTGAAATAATCCCAAACGAATGTTTTACCTTCACCCCTCTTAGTTTGCATCGATTGAGACAGTTACATTTTGAAGATACGGAATGCAATATACATATTTTGAAGATTGGAAGTACCATCCATTTTCCATGTGAACACAACTAATTTCAGACTTTATTATTGATGTATAATACATTTTAGAAAGAAAAAAAGTAAACAAAATATGATATAAAAAACCGAGATGAAAATATTTATATAATTAAAATAAATGGAGATGTTAGTGATCTTTCGTTATTGTACAATTAAAAGAAACATGACGTTTGCGTTTAGTGTTTAATTTGTCCACATTTTATTGTTCTTTCTATAGTTCCTGAATCACTTTGTTCATTATTAGCCTTAAGATCAATGTAAAATTGTTTATTTCCTACCATAACGGATATTTTTATATCATTATCATCGGTTGTTTCAGTTGTTATAAGTTCTTCCTTACTTATATTACTTAATTCTTGATCATGGATACATTCTTCACTTTGACATTTTTCATCTCCACTTTCAAGCTGTTCGTCCAATACCAGACAGTTATCTGTGCTTTTTTCTACGGTATACATTTCTACGACGCATTTTGATCTGTCATCGTCTTTGAGTGATGTATATTTTTCAGATGATTTTTTTCCAAGTGGTTCATAAATATTTTCTCTCGAACTTTTTACTGGTACGTCAATTGGCTCAATGTATTCATCTTTATTTTCTCCCAAACCATGTTCGTTCAGAATTTGTCGTCTCACTGATGACTTTAAATCTATATGGTGATACTGGTCCATAGGATCGACATACGTTGTTCTGATAACAGACAAGTGTCTTCCGTATGCAGTCATAGGTCTGACCATCATAGATTCCCTTATTTCTGAATAATGATCTTCGTTTACCTCTTCCTCTTTCGGTTGACTATTTATAAATGTTCTTTGTTTCTCTATTGATAAAAAGATTGCAAACATATCTAAATTGAAAGACAGAATTCATATTCATATTCCAATAGCAATTTTAAACTCTTATTGATTAGTGTATTCAATGGATTGTGTACTTAGATTACTGAATTAATGTTAGAATCTGTAAGAACCAAACGGGTTCCTGAGTAACCAATATTTACATATTCTCGTTCATATAACTGGCAAATAATGTCGGTTTGTTTCTTTATGAAATTCTCAAAAACCTAAAAATGTAAGAAAATATGAAGTGCACAAAAGTACTGGTGAATCTCTGAAAAATTCATTCATTTCCTTTTTTTTTGACATTTCAGCTGTAATTATTTACAACAAAAATGACAGGTTTTTATCATACTTACTAAATATGTTCTTCTGTGGAAAATAGGAAATGACATTGTACCGTTTCCTACGAATAAAATCAAAAATCAAAATGTTAATATGATGTAGCAATAAACTTTCTTTAATGTTATATTTAAAAAATAATCCATTCCAATGAATATAATTGATCATGTATTTTGATGAATATTCCTTACAACAAATCCCTATAGCATGGATATGTTTTTTTAATTTATTAATCACAGATAAGAAAAAAAAAAACACTTCCAGTACCTTAAGTTAATGAATCAAAGTTCGGCGAAATTTTAAAAACAAAAAAAAGACACTTTATTCACTTACTTAAACAAAAAGATAAAAGTACCGAAGAGTTGTAATACTTATTTTTAACTTTTAGTATATACAATTTAGCATCAGTTTAAAAGAAATAGTGGTCTCTTTGCTTTATTCAAACTGTATACATACCACAGAATAACACAAGAAACAGAACCGACTAACAAAATCACTACAACAACACAAGCTATGACAGCTTCTTCTGCGACACCGTTTTTCTTTTTCTTCTTTTCTAAAAAAAATGAGATTCAAATGAGTCTGTATCGCTCATCTTGCTTGCACGTAAAGTAGCGACTAACTTGTCGTTAAAATGTTGAAATAGAGCGCCAACAGCATGTATGAACCTGTGTCGATCAGTGTTGTTTAGAAGAATAGTCTTCAATGCCATAAATATTTCATAGGTAAAACCTAACAAAATGCATGATCAAAACATTCCATAGCAGTTAAATATGACTCGCTCACGACGACAGATGACAGATGAAAGGGTTAGCAATACATGTAGCTCACATGGCCTTCGACCAGGTCCTATAAAAGTAATGCTTAATTTCAAAATTTAATACAAACGTTGAAGAGCTGATAGAATCAAAAGTATAGCCTTACCTGGACAAGGAATCAGAGCTGTGCATGAAATTATGCATCCCTTACTTCAAACTGATTTCAACATATTATAACAGCAAATTTTAATAAACTAATATCCGTATCTCCAAGCCAGTACTGACAAACTAGCTTCTTGGCTCTTCATACAAGATTATTTATATTTAACCGGATTTTCGAAGGAAAAATCGATTGTTGATTTGGGGATGTACGGCGGCGGGCAGGCGGGCGGCTGTCCAACAGTGTCCGTTCATTAACACGAAAAAGCTTTGACGAAAATTTAGATATGTTGTTTCCTGTGACTTAATGAAGGTCAAGTTCAATTTTCACGACTTTAGCTTTTCTCGTTCTTGAGTTGTGGACCCTTTTAGTAGTTAAGAGTGATACTTATTATGTGATTGAGTTATTTCCGTTTGAACAGAAATTAATAAGTTTATGAATAGATAGTCTATCAATAATTGTATCTTTTAAATGGATTAGTCAGTAGTTGTCAAAAATTTCTTTATAACTTTTATTTTTTAAGTCGTGTGTGTTTTGAAGGTAGATATCACAGTTGTTATGTGGTATTTTATTTTTGTTGTGTGTGTTAATGTTAAATTTTTACTTGATCCTGTTTGGGGGTCCAGATTTTCAAATATCATTTTCATTAGATGATAATCTATTTTTATTAAAGGATAAATTTCATTACATTACATTGTGTAGATAAAGTTGTTGACATTGATAGATAAGTTGCAGATCTATATTAGTTTGTGACAAATGAAAGAAAAAATATTGGGAACTATAATTATATTTGATTATAATTTGAAAATAGATATTAGTTCATATCTAATTTTAGAGAACTATTTTTTAGTGGTTAAATCATATCTAATTTTAAGGGACTATTTTTGCTTTATTAATTAAACCATTTCTGTTCAAAGGGAAATAACTCAAACTTATTTCCATGAACCAGTAATGTAAACATAAGTATATGGATTCTGTTCAATAAATTCAAGTCATTAGTTTCAAAAATTACTTTATAACTAATTTTTTTAAGTCATGTGTGTTATGAAGGTAGATTTCACAGTTGTTACTTGGTATTTTATTTTTGTTGTGTGTGTTAATGTTTAATTTTTACTTGATTCTGTTTAGGGGTTCAGATTTTCAAATATCATTTTCATTATTAATTAGATAATAGTCTATTTTGAATATTCAATCACAATCCAAATTCAGAGCTGTTTTAAGCTTAAATGTTGTGTCCATACTTGCTCAATTGTTCAGGGTTCGACCTCTGCAGGAAAATCCGGTTTGCTGTCTCTCTGACAGCCTCTTGTTTACTAATGGATCGATGACACGATAGAGGTTTCTCCCAAGGGTATCGACAGTCCAGTAGTCAACACTTTTGTGTGGATATGAATTATCATTGATATGGTCATAATTATAGATAAGATGTTTACACAATTTTGAGTTTTTCAAAATACTAAGGTTTTTCTACCAAAGGAATAAATTACCTTAGCTGGCAAAACCTTTTGGAATTTCTGTTCCTCGACGCTCTTCAACTTCGTACTACTTCATTATTTAACCTTTTTAACTTTTTTTATTCGAGCGTCACTGATGAGTCTTTTGCAGACGAAACGCGTCTGGCGTACAAAATTTTTAATCCTTTTATCTATGATGAGTTTATTTATATGCCCTTTAAAAAAATAAAACTTTATTGTATCAAAAGAAATTACCTTGCACGTATATATTTGACATGTAATAAGCCAATCATGGAATATGCGTTATAATTATGAGACGGAGACGATTGTTCGTTTTGATTGATTGTTGGTTACTTAGGACCAGTGGCAAATAGGTCATAAATGTTCAGGACGAACCATAATTGATTGTTCGTAACAGGATAATTTAGAACAGTTTCAGTTGGAAGCAGTGAGAATAGTAAGTGGGCTACCCGTTCATGCAAGTCGAAAAGCCATGTGTTAGAAACAAATAGCAATTTTCTTTCTCCCAATAACCGAATTACTTCCAATTTTATATTTTTCTGCAAAGAGAAACAACACTTATGTAGAACAAACTGTAAACCTGCTTAGAAAAACCTTATATGAATTTCATTGTGTAACCACACATTTAGCAATCCCATTTTTAACATTAAGTGTTATGTACTTACGAAGTAAATTATTGTCAGATCCTGCTCAATACGCATCGCTCGCTTAATTTTTTATAGGCAGGCATACTACCTGTCATACCCACGTGTTATTACCCTTTGCAAAACATTTCAAAATTTGAAACAAAGTCGGTAGTTTGAATACTGCTAACAGAAGAGGGTCTAGAAATGTTGGTAAGTTCTATTCCCTTCATAAATTGGACGGTCTCTGGCTATCTTTTTGATTACATGACCCTACGAGTTGATGATATATCTAATGTTCAGTGTTTAAACGGATGCAGCGGAAAACATTCTCATGATGAAGGTAAAAAATAAATAGTTACGGTGTTAAACGTCGGTAATGGTTTCTGCAAAAAAGTGAACAATCGTCGTTTATGGACTCCTATAAGTGTTTAATTGGCCATTTCGGCCATGTTAACCGCAAATTATTTGTAGATCTTATTTAGATTAACATGTTTATATGTAAAAACATATTAAACTGTTCAATGAAGAGTTTCAAAAATGTGTGCAATCACTGTTTCAAGTTTCAATGACTTTAAGGTAAAAACTATTGAACTCTACACATACTTAATACCCTTTGCAGCATTCATGATACAAACGACTATTTTCAACACACGGAAAACCAATGAAGAAATAATTCAATATGTTTGAAAAATAGGGGGCTGTATATCTTCAATCTGTGTAATCACGGTGTAAAGTTTGAATGGTGTTGCAGTTACAAATGATGCAAACTATTATCCCCGTATGGTTTGACAAACGAACTGACGGCCGGAAAGACGACTAAGTTAAATGACTACAAGACAGACAAAAATAATAGGGTTTCCCATATACTTAGACTGACTGAACAGGTGCGTTAAATGAATTAATTTGTTGAAAAACGAATGTGGTGTATCAATACTAGAGGTATGTGTGGTTATCTGTAGCAAACACATATTGAAAATTGTGGCATAATTTTTATGGAATACATGTTATTTAACCTTGTTTTATTATTTTTTAAATAGGTTAACAATGGTAAGGAGAAGTTGATTCATGATGTCTTTCAATTTGAATGTAATTTCACAGACCTGTTTCTGTTTCTTCACATCCTAGTTTTCTGTTACATCTGTTAAAATACAAATAAACTTTATGGCAATAATGAAGTTTGTACAGAAAGTGAGTTTTGGCTTCGATTGTCTTGGTAAACGTTAATCCAGAGAAGCTTTTCGATCAAAACATTTGAGACATTAGATTGATTTTTCATCACCAAAAATATGATAGGTCCAAATAAATTGTTACTCAATTATAATTCTGATCGACATGATTCAAAAAAAATTATCAAACACTTTTTTTTCAAATCGGATATCTGGGATACAACAAAATATTTAAGCATAATTTTTAAGTTAAACTCCAATGTGTCATTTTTATTTAACAACATTTGAAATTGGTGAACATGTATAATTAAAAATAGAACACTGTCTGAAAACCCCAAAAGAGATAGAGACAAAAGACAAGATTGCTTACTTGAAGAGAAGATCTATATCTTTTTTTAATTTACATTACTTGTAAACAGTTTGTAATAGCATAAACGTAATACCAAAAATAGTAAAAGTTTACATTATACAGCAGACGACGTATTTACGTATCGTAATACAAATGTCGATGTTTAGTCAAAATTTGCAATTAAATATTGAACTATAGTGGAAGAATATACTATTGCAGAAATCATTAGAAGGTATACAAATGCTATATAGCTTCGAACAATATCAGATAATTATATGTATATCTAATGAGATTTAACAATGTCAACATTAATGTAAATAATCGAGAACTCTCAAAACATACTGCCAAAATTTTCTCAAAGGAATTTACTTTAAATAAATCAAATATAAACAGCAATAACTACCCATTATTTCTAGATTTAGATATATCAGTTTAACTCGGGAAACTCAATGCAAAAACTAATCATGCAAGGGATGATGTTTCGTTCCTTATTGTTAATTTTCTTGTTTTGGGGCGGTAATGTTCCTTTGGAATTAAATGAATCTAATCCATGTATTACTGTTATAGTATAAAGTCAACTCATTATTATAAAGCTGCAGACCAAATATAAAATCATTCCCTTCCATAAAAGCCAGGAAAATTTGACGAAAAATTGTCAATGTACAATGCGTTTTAATAAATAGACTATCGACAAAAGGAAAATAGCTCAAAGCAGATGTAAATAAAATGCTTACACGTTACAAGTCATCATTATCAAGCTGAAGACCAAACATGAGATCATCACTTACAAGCCAAAAATATTTTAACGAAAGTTTTCTTCCCGAGGTCTTCTGGACGATCGGACTAACGGACAGACGATCGAACGGAGTCGTGCGGTTACTAGACCTACTTTCACCTTTGGCGATGCAGGTAAAAACTATTATAACTTAACACTACAAACGGATTGTACAGTATGTATTACATTCATGTAAGAAATTTTGATGATTGTGTTTCCCCCCTTCTTTCTATTAGACGTAATATACAGTTATGCACGTCAGATATGAATATTTTTTCTGTTATCAGAAGCTAGTGGTATGATTAACTGCCATCTTAGATAACACAATTACGTTAATTTTGCGCATGAATCTATAAAAATTATTGAAACACCTTTTTATTTGAAAATATGAATCCGGTTTAAAATAAGTTTTACGGTGTAAGAAAATAGCAGATCTTTCACTGATTCAAAAAATATATGGTTTGTGAAATAAAGGATTTAATTGGTGACTTCCAGTTAAAACAAAGTCACTTCCTGTGTCAATTAATAGCTTATTTTATACTGATTCAAATATATATATATATATATATATATATGTATATATATGTACCCGCTACATCCTGTCCCAAGACAGGAATCTGTAATTCAGTTTGAATTGTTCTACATTTGTCATTTGAGGATCTTTTATAGCTGACTATGTGGTATGATTTTGCTCATTTATGTCATTTGGTTTCTGGTGGAGATTTGTCTCATTGGCAATCATACCACATCTTCTTATTTTTATATCTATACTTTTGCTTAAAATAAGGGAGATAAGTGTGTACTTCCGGTTTACATAATTTCACTTACGGTATCATCTGATATGTTACTTTACTATTATTCCAAAAAAATAAAGTTCAAGAAACATAAAATTGAAATGCATAAAGGCTATTTCCGGTTTACAAAAGGTCACATCCGGTTGACCTTCTACAAGGTCATATGTCTACAACCCAATGTAAAATACCATATGAGTTTATCATGTAACAATCAGCAAAGGTCAAAATCTTAGTAAAAATATTTAGTCGATATCTTATACGGTTTCTCAGGAGAAGAGCTAATAAGCCAAAACAAAAATTTAGAACATAAACTTGACTTTTGACCTTAACCTCCTTTTATTTTTGGTGGATCAAGGACCTCAAATAAAAAGACCCTAGGTATCTTTCACTTTTAATGGTTTGTCAGTTACAAATACATTTTAACTTATATCAAATACAGAAGGGGAAATTACTCTCGTATGGAATCTCTGTATCGCTTCGGTCAAAATTCAACAAAACATCCTGAGGCTATAAAAGAGCAATTTGGAAAAATTAATTTGTCGGTTTCTTTTCCGGTTGCACAATAAACAATATATAACTAACACTGGATGAGTAGATTTAATCTTATAGATTGTTTCTTTCTGTGTCGTGTAATATAAAGGCAAAACGAAGAATTAAGCAAAAATATCTAACCTTTGACCAGCATGGCAGTTGCATCTTTCAAAACATCCAAATCCATAGTATTCATCAGGACAAGACAGACGACAGTTTTGGCCAAATGTTCCTAAAGGGCATTCTGAATTTCAAAACAAAATACAAAGGCAAATACACATAACTAAATTGATGAAACACGAAAAACGTTATATATGAATAAGTGCCTGTCAAGATAAAGTTATGAGAAGTTCAATACAAACTGTACAATACATATGGTGATGGAAAATGAAATAAACACTTAATAGATTTGGTGTGCCCGACGCTTTTTTTCTGGATCTGCCTTCATCAGTAATTGCATATTCAAATACACTTACGTTATACATAATTAGCATGGTAGAATACTATCATGATATTTAAGCTTGAACTGCTTTGTGGTCTTAACGTTTAAAATTCGTTTAACTGCAGTGTGTATTTAAAAACAAATCTATTTTGGCTTTGCTGTACAATATTCATTTATATAAATACACACTGTAGTGCTTTGTTTATGATTTTTTTAACAAAAAGGAATCACAGTTTGGTATAACAATTAAAAGCGAATATAACCGAATTAAATTAATTTGTTTCATCATGTTTCTTACTGACGAGATATGACTTGTATAACGCCAGGTATACACTTATGCTTTCTTGATTGTTGAGTCTCGTCAAATTGCAATCGTTTTAAAACGGTTAATAAATGGCGAATATCATTAAAGGTAATCGAATTTCCTAATTCTTTGTTTATGCCAGTAACATAAAATGTAAGTAATTTTGAATAGGTCAATGAAAAAAAAACTACTAAAGAGTATTAAAGGGGCACTAGCTACGAGATATATAAAAAAAATAATATATGATTTTTTGTATTGTGAAATCATTAATGAAAGTGAAATAGTGAAATAATAATTCGCTTTTAGCAGTGAGTTTGGTTCAATTTTGTCAAAATAAGCAAAGAAAAAACGCTGATGAATTATTCACTTGCAAGTGACCTTCAAGTTAATCCCTTAGCTAGCTGGATTACGCATGAATTATGCGTGTTCAGTTATCAAACGGAAAAGAATGTCAACATTGAAAGTGAAACAAGGGTAAACCATTTGATTGACTGATTCGATCCACAAAAACTCGTTCTTATACAGGTAAAAACGATGATTAATTTATATTTTTAATCTATAATATGAAATCAAACAGACCTAGATAAATCCAATTGCACGAGTTCGCTATCTATTTATATCTATATATATGTTTGTATCGGGTTAAATGACTGTCGGCAGTCTTCGGAGGTCACCTCGATAGTTAATTAGATGGCGTCTAGACTAAAATACACACGAAATTCTGATACATAGTATCGATCCCATGCATTGTAAATTGTTTATTTTAGACTTTTTATAATTTGGATATATGTTTTAGTGTGTTATTAGTCAAATATGAGAATTTGAGACAAATCGGTGGACACGAATTTGACAGCTAATGCCCCTTTAACTGACGCCTCACTGACTACAATTTTGTTTGTTGAGCCCCAAAATTATTTGGTACCTAACGGCAGTCACAACAACGGTGATAATGTATTAATGCTTATTGTTAAAAAAAAGACTAGATATATAGGACTCCTCTACAGTTTAAATGAAAAATTAAGTTTTTAAACATGTATATCCAAAAAAAAAAATATGTGTCCATAAGTCGCAATGCCCCGCTCGCTCTATCATGAATGCCCATGTTAAAGTAACTTCAGATTGGCGAGGTCATCACTGTACAGCAAGTGAACTTGACAACCAGAAATTTTTACCGATTCAAAGTTAATTTGCAACAGGTTGTAGGAATGTTTCGACCTATACTAGGACCAAAATCAAGTTAACTTATAAAAAAAGATTTGGTCCTAAGACTGTTTGATTACTGACGAACAAGTTTACTTTCAACAGGTCCGCTACTTAACTTCAAAGCCAGACATTGAAATAAGAAGATGTGGTATGAGTGCCAATGAGAAAACTCTCCATCCAAGTCACAATTTGTAAAAAGTAAACAATTATAGGTCAAAGTAAGGCCTTCAACACGGGCCTTTAACTACAAAAAAAAACGCGAAACACTTATGAACCACATCAACAAACGACAACCACTGAACAATAGGTTCTTGACTTAGGACAGGTGCAAACAAATGCATGCACACTTCGATCTGTACATGTGCAGCCCCGATTGAATCAGACCTGTTCTCAAAATTACTTTTGTTCTGGTCTGCTCCCAACTTATAAAATACTGAGATGTGGTATGATTGCCAATTAACCAACTGTCCAGCTGATTACGGGATGTGGATTCAAGCTATTATAGGTATTCATACGGCCTTCAATATTAAGCAAAACCAATACTATAATGTCAGTTATAAAAGGCCAT